GCGAGAGTTGAAGTTATTATTATTATCTACTAAATATAAATATAATAATGTTTGTAAGTGATGATCTGCAGAATTAAGTTTCCGAAGATAAGATATTATAAAAAATTAATGCACTTCTCATGATACTTTTTACAAAAACATTTTATATAAAACGATTTTTATAGTCTTCAAGTAAAAATATTACAAAAGTAATTAAAATTAAAATTCAATTAAAATAATATAAATAAATTTTTTTAGAAAGAGTTTAAGTTCCAATAGATGGAATAATGCTGTCATAAATTCTATTATAATATAATAAATTGATTTTGAACGTCTACTCTTTGACAAAACTAAATTCTCAATATAATAAGAATAATATATAATAGAATATATATAAATATTAGAAATAGAATAATATTATTTTCAGTGGAGTGATTTTCATCGAACAGTAGTGAAATTGCAATAACTAGGTAATTAGGTTGCAGTGGCGGCCTTGTTTTCAGAAAGCGTACTTAAGGTGGTACCAGAGGAATAGCATTGCTACGTACAATAGATTGTCAAAGCAGTATAAAATCGACGCCGGAAAAGGTAACGCCTCCCCATTAGGTAAAGAAAAACCAACCTGACAGTTTTATAAATTTAGTTAGTAGGGATCTAGCATATTTCAGAATGACAACTCGGTCAGGTCGTTGAAAAATGGGGCCCCGAAGATTTTTGATTTTCTCCTAACTAAAAAAGGGCACTGACACATGAGATGGAGCACGATGTCTTCCTCATCCTCAGAGTCACAGCCGCGACAAAAGTCATTGGAGGGTAGACCCAGTCTCATAGCATACCTGGGCCGTCAGCACAGATACCGTGCTGTTAAGCAGGTTCCGCCTTAGTTGAAGTAACTGACAAATGCGTTTCTTGTCCATGGGTTCCATCAGCCCAGTATTGTTTGGCTATGCTCAGGTATTTTTAGTTAATGGCCAGTGTAATGCAACAACTAAATTCTTATTATTATTTTGGATAATTTAATAATAAAATACAACGTATAAATATATATATTCTAATAAAACATAAATAATTATAGGTACATACAGAATAAGATATATTTAGAAGAGACTAAGTTAAAAGGAGCTGGTTAATAGGTATTACAGACTAGAAGTCAATGAAGTCACACAAAATTTTATACAAAAACCAATTTTTAGAAATTTAAATCTAGAAATTCCTACATTTCATTTCATGAAATGGTTTAATATCGTGATCAATGTCTTCTAAACTTACATTAACGATATTGGATATTGGAGAGAAAGATAATGGATAAAAGAAAGATAATTTTTTTCAGAATATAAGAGTAAAACGACGAAAAACCGCTAATTAAGGTCAGCGGAAAGATATCTTTCTATGCCCTATGACTACAACCAACCTTAACAGCTTCTTTAAGTATAAATAGATTATGAAGAACCGCCTATTTAGAAGATTCATGTCTTATATTAAAGTATTTCGAAAGTCAAATAAATCATAGGTAACTAGTCCTTAAAATACACAGTTTTGAATAAAACACA